TGTTGTGTGCCATTGAGTCGGTTCTGACTCATAGCGACCCTGTATAGGATTTCTGAGGAGCGGCTGGTGAGCTTGAACCGCCGACCTTGCATTCCAGCACATTAACCCGCAGTGCCACAACAGGACTCCACAGCACCACACTAGGAGCCAATGTTTTCCCCACAGAATCTTCAATATTGTAAGTTGAGGCATGAATTTTTTTCTTCAGTTCCCTCAGCGTCAGAAATGCCTAGCATGCTCTTTCCTTTTGATTTTCTAACTCCAGGTCTTTGCATATTTCATTACAGTATTTGACTTTGTCTTTTTAAGATGCCTTTTGAAATTTTCTGTTCAGCTCTTTTTTTTTTTTTTTTTTTAAAGTTTTTATTGTGAATTGAGTGAAAGTTTACAGGGCAGATCATCAGTTTTACATTCAACAAATCATATACTTTGTTTCATTACAATGATTAGAATTCCTTTCATGTATCATCAGTTAACAGTATTTCTCTCTATTCATTTTAGCTCTTAAAAAACAAAACAAAAAAAACCACTCAGGCATATATAATAATTTAAACCACCAAAGGCACATTCTGCAAGTCTGCCTCCTGGTCACCAGCTCTTAGTCCCTCTCTTTCCATGAATCTAGAGTCCTCAGCCACTCCATCTCTCCATGTCCTCATCTCTGCCTCCAACTTTGGTGTTGCTGCTTCTCTGGATAAGGTCCTACATTCTGTTTGCGCTCTTCTCCCTTGATGGTCCTAGGGTCCTCTGTTTCTGGACTGTAAGATTAACTGCTCCCTCGTCTTTGTTACAAAACTTTTACTTCATGATAACAATTACTCATTATTGAATCACAAGAATCTCATCCCCATCTTTTTTTACCAGACCCATCTAGACAAGATGAAAACTATTCAGTGGGAAAGCTATCTTCAGATTTTCTTATTTCTTGAATTGGGTTATGGTTTTCTTTCTAAAAGGTCAGAAAGTTATCATTTTGTTTTAAGTGATTTTTCTGTATTTGTGCTGTATTTTACAATTAAAGAGTTTTAAAGGGGGGGGGGCGGAGATAAGATTGCCTTGTGTTGTAGAGTTCATTTCAACTCATAGCAACCCTGTACAGAGTGTCTGAGAGCAACTGGTAGATTTGAAACGCTGACCTTAAGCAATTGTAAAGAGCATTTTCTTGTTTACTGATTAGCTTTTTCAAAGTTCTAGACAGAGAGACTGGAGACATGTGATCCACCAAAAAGCCTAAAGTTTTTGTTTGATTTTTTGCTGATGAAAGTTAAAGAACATAGCCTTTGGGATGGGTTGTAACTCAAAGCAAAATCTTCACCACTGAAGCAATAAATAGCATCATGATAAATGGAAAAAAGATTGAAGTTGTCAAAGACTTCATTTTGCTTTGCTCTACCATCAACACTCATGGGAGCAGCAGTCAAGAAATCAAACAACATATTGTATTAGGCAAATCTGCTGCACAACACCTCTTTAAAATGTTCAAGAGCAAAGATTTTGAGGACTGAAGTGTACATGACACAAGCAATGGTATTTTCAATAGCATCGTATGCATGTGAAAATTGGACAACGAATAAAGAAAACCATAGAGGAACTAATGCATTTGAGTTATGGTGTTAGAGAAGAATATTAAAGGTACCATGGACTTACAAAAGAACCACCAAATCTGTATTGGAATAAGTACAACTAGAATGTTCCTCATAAGCCAAGATGGCCAGAATTAGTTTCTCACACTTTGACATATTATCAGGAGGGATAAGTTCCTAAAGAAGAACAACATGCTTGGTAAAATGAAAGATCAGCAAAAAGTGGAAGACCCTCTATGAAATGAATTGGCATAGTGGCATTCTAGCATAGCAGAAATTTTCAGGATGATGTAGGACCCCGTGGTGTTTTGTGTACCTAGGGTCAATGTGATTCGTAACCAACTTGATGGCATCTAACAACAACATATTTTGGCTATGTTATCAGGAGGTATCAGACCCTGTGGAAGGATAGCATTCTTGAACATGATGCTTGAACATCAAAAAAAGTGGAGGACCCTTAATAAGATAGATTGTCACATTGGTTGCTACAGTGGACTCAAACACAACATTGTGAGCATAGTGCATTATTGCACAAAATATTTCTTTCTGCTGTACATAGGGTCATGATAGTTGTCACCCAACAGCAACATAGACACACCTATATCTACATGTGATGCATTCACATATGCTGTCCAATAGATATAATGCATACACTTCTACCTATGTAAACACATGCATATTTTACACTGTTATTACTCTTGTTACAAAATTAGCTATGTCATAGCATGTATCAGTGCTGTCCCATATATTTTTTTGTACTTTTTTAAAAAAGTTTTTTATTGTGAATTATGTGATTGTTTACATGGGAAAACCCTAAAGAGTTTTGTCTAGAGTTAATTTATATAGGTACAACTTAATTAATGACCTTCCTTCCCCTTAGCCCTCAGGTTAATATGCTGTAAGGACATCCACTCATTGTTCCTTTTGGGGTTCTAAAAGTGGAGCTTTCTGTGTTCTCTAACAGAGGTACTACTAAGTAGTAATCATACCAACGTTCTCATGACAACTACAATTAACTGAAGCAAAGGAAAAAGCCCAGACCTATTCTGTTCCCTTGCTATTACGAAAACAAAACAAAAGCAAAAAACGAACAGACAAACAAAAACCCAAATCCACTGTTATCGAGTCAGTTCTGACACAGAGACTGTAAAACTTTACAAGAGCAGACAGCCTCGTTTTTCTCCCACGGAGTGGTTAGTGGGTTGAATTGTAGACCTTGTAGTTTACAGCTATTGTTGTTAAATGCCGTCGAGTTGGTTTGGACCCATAGCAACCCTGTATAGGGTTTCCGAGGAGCAGCTGATGAGCTTGAACCACCGACCTTGCGGTTCAAATTGACTTTGCAGTCCAACGAATTAACCCAGAGCATCACACCATGACTCCAACATGCTATTACTTACATGAATACGTTTTGCATACGTATTTGACAGGTTCTTTCAGAGACATTTTAGTAAGTCTAAGGAGCTCTGGTAGCGTAGTGGTTACGAATCGGGCTGCGAACCTTAAGGTCAGCGGTTCGAAACTACCAGCCGCTCCGCGGGAGAAAGATGAGGCTTTCTACTCCCGTAAAGATTTACACCCTTGGAAACCCTGTACAGGGTCGCTATGGGTCGGAACCGACTCAACGGCACTTAACAACAACAACAACAACAATAGAGTACTAGTGTGGCACTGCAGGATAAGCGCTGGACTGCGAATCATTAAGTTTGCCAAGTCAAACCCACTAGCTATTCCTTGGAAAACCTATATACAGGGTTGCTATGAGTTGGAACCACCTTGACGTCACTCGACAACATCATAGGTTCTAAGAATTTCAGAGAAGATTCTAGCACATGTGAAGTATTATCCAAGGACTTGTATATTCCCCTCAGTTCATATCATTGTGCACAAGTGTGTATATTCTCTTTAAGATACCATAGACAATATGATATCTTAAAGAGAATATACCTGAGACCGAAAAGAATGAAGGGGTCTGGTACTTAATGGTTTGGGAACAGCACAAGGGCTCCTAAAATATGGCTGCCCCAGTCTGAAAATATCAAGTGTCCAAGGCAGTCAAATACAGGGTATTTTTTTCTTCTAACCTTTAAGCGTGGAGAACACAACTCTCCATTATAATTTAGTTACTTGTTTCTGTAATTTTTTTTGGGGGGGGGGGATTTAGTTTGTTAGATTTATAACTCTATGACTTAATCTTATGCTAGCAAATTACATTGTTCCAGATCCCATCCCCCCACCCCGTTTCAGTTTGATCTAAATTATAGTAATTTACAGGTTTTCTAGGCTGGTTTGTAAAAAAAAAAAACGATATTTACTCTTTCTGAGAGGGAGATTCTTCTAACTAGGGTCTTATGGGTGTTGTCCAAGTTAGAAGTTCTAATTGGTTTGATTAGGCTGACACCCACAGCCCCATGTATTGACTGCTGTATGAGGAGGGCTCCAACATAGACATGGTTCTTTCTTAGAGGAAACCTAGCAACTGCAGTTAATAGAGTTCCAGACACCCAGATGGAGGCAGGCAAACCAGCGCTTTGTGGACCCAGAGTATACTATGGGAAGCTGCTGCTAAGCGGGGCAAGCACACCATGAATAGTTAATTGGAAAAAACACAAATGATCATTGTCCTTTACTTGTTTCTGTATTGTGGTCCACTCACCACAGAATGTAAAGATTCCTGGTGTGACACTGTAAGATCTGCGAACCACAGGTTGGCAGTTCAAACCCATTAGTTACTCCTAGGAAAGCCTATATAGGGTTACTCTGAGTCGGAACCGACTCGCGGTACTTAACAACAGCTTGTGCTGTCAGCCACTCTCCAGGTACTTGCATAAAAAGTGATTACAAAGCTTTCCCCCCATGTCAGCAGCCAGATGCCTAATGTGAAAAGAAGTTGTAACTCCATCCTTGTGCCGTTCCCATATCCTGGTTCCCATTTGTTCATTCTCACTTGGATCATTGAGTAGAATAGCAAATCAGTTTCCTTGTTCACTTTTAATTACTAGATTATGGTCAAATTGAGCTCCCAGATTATATGAGCAAAAGCCAATGGAAATTTTCATTTTAAAATTAGACTTTTGGGCTACATCCATGGTTTAGATCTAATGGAGGAAGTGTACGGATTGCAGCAAGGGGCCAATCCACGGAGGGCATTGGGTTGGCAGTGGAGTCGGAAGTGGTTAGGTTTGGGGGAGGAGATCCTCTTATCCACAGGAGGAGAGGGATTGAGCCGCCATAACTGCTGCCGCCGCTGCAATTGCAGACCTAGTGTTGGAACTTAACTGCTACTTAGGCATCGCTGAGGTTTCTGTGGCTACGTCCTTGGTCCTTTATTCTAGCTGCCTTACCCCTTCCAGCGAAGCCAGCTCTTTCTTGCCTGCGGACCCTGCTCCCTCCCGCCACACATCAGACCCCCAGGTAATGGATCCTGGTCTCGGCAGCGGCGGCAGCAGCAGCGACTCTGCTCCTGACTGCTGGGAGCAGGTGGACATGGACGCTCCTTGTTCGTTCCCTAGCGGCGAGAGATTCCCCTCAGTCCTGGTGGAGACCCAGAGTGAGCATCTTAGCTCATCCTTCAGCCGACAGCTAAACGTCAACGCCAAACCCTTCGTGCCTAACGTTCATGCCGCAGAGTTCGTGCCGTCCTTCCTGAGGGGCCCAGACCAGCCATCGACCCCCAGAGCCAGCACCGATAGCAATGAAAAAACCTGCACTAGCACGGGACACCCTCAAGGTAAAAGGCTGGGACGGGGGGCACCTGTGGAACCTCACAAAGAGGAAAAATTAGTTTTGTGTGAGGGTTCCAATTCAGCTGTTACCATGGAACTTTCAGAACCTGTTGTAGAGAACGGAGAGATGGAAATTGCCCTGGAAGAATCTTGGGAACACACAAAAGTAAGTGAAGCAGAGCCTGGGGGTGGTTCACTGGGAGATGCAGGGCCCCCAGAAGAAAGTGGCCAGGAAATGATGGAGTACAAAGAAGTAAGAACACCTAGATCTATGGGCGAATCCTCCGGTACTCCTAAAAAAGAACACGTAAATGTCGTATTCATTGGGCATGTCGATGCTGGCAAGTCAACCATTGGAGGACAAATAATGTTTCTGACTGGAATGGTTGATAAAAGGACACTTGAGAAATATGAAAGAGAAGCTAAAGAAAAAAACAGAGAAACATGGTATTTGTCCTGGGCCTTAGACACAAACCAGGAAGAACGAGACAAGGGTAAAACAGTAGAGGTGGGCCGTGCCTATTTTGAAACAGAAAAGAAACATTTCACAATCTTAGACGCCCCTGGACACAAGAGTTTTGTCCCAAATATGATTGGTGGTGCTTCTCAAGCTGATTTGGCTGTACTGGTAATCTCTGCCAGGAAAGGTGAGTTTGAAACTGGATTTGAAAAAGGTGGACAGACTAGAGAACATGCGATGTTGGCAAAAACAGCTGGAGTAAAACATTTAATAGTGCTTATTAATAAGATGGATGATCCCACAGTCAATTGGAGCATTGAGAGATATGAAGAGTGTAAAGAAAAACTGATACCTTTTTTGAAAAAAGTTGGCTTTAGTCCCAAAAAGGACATTCACTTTATGCCCTGCTCAGGGCTGACAGGAGCAAATCTTAAAGAAAAGTCCGAATTCTGCCTTTGGTACCCTGGATTACCATTTATTCCCTATTTGGATAATTTGCCAAACTTTAACAGATCAATTGATGGACCAATTAGGTTGCCAATTGTGGATAAGTACAAGGATATGGGAACTGTGGTCCTGGGAAAGTTAGAATCAGGTTCTATTTTTAAAGGCCAACAGCTTGTGATGATGCCAAACAAGCACAATGTGGAAGTTCTTGGAATACTTTCTGATGATGCTGAAACTGATTCTGTAGTTCCAGGTGAAAACCTCAAAATCAGACTGAAGGGAATTGAAGAAGAAGAGATTCTTCCAGGATTCATACTTTGTGACCCTAATCATCTTTGCCATTCTGGACGTACATTTGATGTTCAAATAGTGATTATTGAGCACAAATCCATCATCTGCCCAGGTTATAATGCGGTGCTGCACATCCATACATGTATTGAGGAAGTTGAGATAACAGCCTTAATCTCCCTGGTAGACAAAAAATCGGGAGAAAAAAGTAAGACAAGACCCCGCTTCGTGAAGCAAGATCAAGTGTGCATTGCCCGTTTAAGGACAGCAGGGACTATATGCCTTGAAACATTTAAAGATTTTCCTCAGATGGGTCGTTTTACCTTAAGAGATGAGGGCAAGACTATTGCAATTGGAAAAGTTCTGAAGCTGGTTCCAGAAAAGGACTAAGCAATTTTCTTGATGAGCCTACACAATACTGTGCGAATTGACTGAAGAGGTTTACCACTTTTTACTTAACTGCTGTTTGACTGACTTTTCATAGCAAAATCTGTTTTGTCGTCAGCTTCTCATGTTGAGAGATCACTTAGATCACTGTTGAATTTATCCTCAAGTTTCTTTCTCCTACTCTATTTGCCTTCCTTGGTCAGAATCAATAATATCTTTGTAAGTGTTGTGGTTGTAATTGCCTATAATAATGAAAAATTAATATGTGTATATTAATTTTTCATTTTTCCTTAAGGTATTTAGACAACCCTTGTCCCATACAGACCAGTCAGTGTGTTTGTACATGTTAAAAAAGACAACTAACATGTTAATAAAATATTCCATTAGAAACTCCAGTATTTGAAATGTTTCTGAGTATTTAAAAAAAATTTATACGTAATATTATTTAATGAGCGTTTTTACTTTCTCTGATTGAATACATTTATTAATTGGACTTTATAAAACTGCCTTTCACCTACTATTTTAAATAAGGCATTTACAAATATTGCACAAGTTTGTATTAAGTGAAAAATTTTTTAATTTTGAAAAACATGTTTAGGGCTCTAATCTATCTATGAATTTTGTTTTCTGTGTTCTAGTCTAGTCAATTCAGGAGATATTCTACTTCCTCTCGTGTCATTTAAAAAAGATTCAGGCTCTCTTAGCTGTATTACATTAGGTAACATACCGTTACCTAATGGTAACATATTGTTGACCATGACCAAATGACAGGATTCAGACTTCACTGGTAAACATGAGCTTCCTAGCACATGCCCCTTGGCCTTGTTCACTATGAAACTTGGGTGGCCAATGCTTTCCAAAAGGACTGTAGGTTACTTACTCTGGTGGTAGTGGTAGCTGGGCACCATCTAGTCGGTTCTGACCCATAGCGACCCTGTATAGGGTTTCTGAAGCTGTAAATCATTATGGGACCATAAAGCCTCATCTTTCTCCCATGGAGCTACTGGTAGATTCGAACTGCTGACCTTGAGGTTAATAGCCCAATTCATAACTACTACTGGGGTGGCGCTGTAGGTTAATGTGCCAGACTGCAAAGCCATTTGAGCTGCAAGGTCGGTGGTTCAAGCTCACCAGCTGCTCCTTGGAAACCCTTTACAGGGTCACTATGGGTTGGAACCAACTCAATGGCACTTAACAACAACAACAACAACTGTACTAGGAAGGAGCTCTGGTAGCATAGTGGTTACGAGTCAGGCTGCTAACCTCAAGGTCAGCAGTTTGAAACTACCAGCGGTTCCATGGGAGAAAAATGGAGCTTTCTGCTCCCATAAAGATTTACAGCCTCGGAAACCCTATACAGGGTTGCTATAAGTCGGAACTGTCTCCACGGCATACCATGGTTCCGATAGGTCACTTAGTGAAAAGTAAACGTTCATGAGGGTCCTGACCTGAGAAGTGAAACTACTCCACCCTTTAAGTCTTAAAGGCGTGGAGCTGATAAAAAAAGATAGAAGGTCATTTTTATAATCAGATTACAACCCATTTTTGGTGTCAGATACTGGAAATGTCTCTGAACAACTTCCTGAGATATAATCTACAACTTCCTGAAGTGGCTGCATTTATTTATTGTCAGGAAAGCAACCTTATAACATGCTTAACTATCAACAACTGCATGAACTTTTTGTCTTGGTAAGTGGGTAGTGGCCCAGTGTTAAACATCTCTGCACACCATCTCTCTTAGGAACACCATTACACCTGGTGTAAGAAGTTTGCTTTGTTAGAAAACCTCATATTCATGGGATGTTGTGGTAGCTGTTCCAGGACATCCTGAGCTATGCTCAGGCAAAGACAGTATCTTCTCCTTGGTTCCGTTGTTTGTGTACCTGTTTACCTCCAGAGTGTCCAGTCTATCAGCGATGCCACTGGTCTTGCCAGGACATCCAGATGGGAAAGGAGGATTATAATTTTGTCATATATCAACTAACCAAATCCACAAGGATGTACCTCATGCAGTCTTGGAACCAGCCCTTTAATAAATAAAATATCCGTTTCAAGAATTTCATCTTTATTCTCTTGGTTCTATACTCTGAAATTTGTATAAAATACAGACCCAACCAAGTACTTGTTAAATTTTTTCCTGAACAAAAAATTTTTTTTTTTCCCCAGATGCAGTCACTTAAAAAATTATTTTAACTTTTTGATATTGCATAAATCCCTTTTGTAATATTAGTAAGTTACCAATAAAACTCTTGTGGATATTCTCCTCTGATAGACCGAAACGACAAGCCAGGATGAACTCTTTACCTCCATCCAGTTTGAAACTGGCTCCTAAATATCTTTCTCATTAGCCAGTTGTGTAGCAATTATTCCACTAAGAACTCGGACATGTATAAATAACCTACAGTGTAGGAACTAGAGTTTAGAAATTAATTATTTACGTTTCAGTGAGAAATAGAATTTCTGCCAAATCCTGAGCATTTGAATGAACATGTTCACATTGATGAGTACTGTTTTCATGTTCTATACTTTCTGTTGAGACCATTATTATGTTTCCAGTTTTACTAGTTTTCAGTTATGAGATCTGCTTTTATAGTTGGCCATTGAGGATGAGGAGAATTTGATTTAAGGTCACTCCTCAGGGACACTACTCACTTATGTCCATAGAGTGGGGAAAGTGGACTTGCCTTAGAAATTGGAAAAACTGTTTCAAAGCACCCCATGTGTGTGTTATGGTTCAGAAGATCAAGAAGGGTTGCTGTTGTTAAGTGCCGTTGAGTTCGGTTCCGACCCATAGCGGCCCTGTATAGGGTTTCCGAGGAGCAGCTGGTGAGCTTAAACCACCAACCTTGCAGTTCAAACGGCTTTGCAGTCTGGCACATTAACCCACAGCACCACTCCAGGACTCCGATCAAGAAGGGTAGAAGGGGAAAACAATGAAATGAACATAGTATGTGTCATATATAATATATATATACATATACACAAGAGAGTATGGCTTACAATTTTACTCTATGACCTATGATACTATTCTGTAAAATATTCAATATTAGCTCCACTGACAATTCTATTCTGCATAGGATTATGCAGGCTGTTTTAGAAGAAATATATCTAAATTCTGGGGAAAATCTCTTTTCACTCACTCTTTAAAATGTGTATAGTTTTTTCCCTTTATTTTTAGGAATAGGGGTTGGGCTAGGAGTAGGAGTAGGGCTTGGATTAGCTTTAGCGTTACCGTTAGGTTTGTTTTAAACATTTGTTTATTTAGGATTTGGGCTCTAACATAATTGAATAGAAGTCTGGACAACTCTAAAAGAATAGCAGATCTTAATAGACCACTTTCAATGAAGGGCAGAACAGCTAGAGGGAAGCTCAACAAAGAAGGACCAAACAAAGTTGCATCGTTTCTTTTTATCAGTCAGCTGGTAAAGGTTCAGACTAAAAATCAGACCTCAGTCTGAAGAATTTTCCAGCAAATAACCTCATTTTCTGCTAAGATTAGTATTAGCAGTCAGAGTTTATATACATAGATAATTTGCAGACAATTCTCAGTCCTCCGATGAGGACATTTCTGTTTCATTCTGTTTGACTGTTGAACTGCTTCACAAACCAAAGAGGATTAAGACTTACTCCTAGTTTCAGCATGAAAGGATTAAAAAAAAAAAAAAAAAAAAGTCTACAGTTAGGATGACACAGCATCTCCTAATTGATATATATATTGATGTTGTTGCTAAGTGCTGATAAGTCAGTTACGACTTTGAATAGGGTTTCTGAGAGGGTTTGAACTGTTGACCTTGTGGTTTGCAGTTCAGTGCTGATCTTACAGCACGACACCAGAAGTCCATATATTGATATGTTGTTGTTGTTGTTTAGTGCTGTCTAGTCGGTTCCGACCCATAGCGACCCTGTATAGGGTTTCCGAGGAGCAGCTGATGAGCTTGAACCGCTGACCTTGCAGTTCAAACGGCTTTGCAGTCTGGCGCATTAACCCACAGTGCCACACCAGGACTCCATATATTGATATACACACACTAAATTATGCCTCTTTGTTCACATTGGGAATGCTGAGGAAGAGGTTTTCTTTGTTCTCTAACAGAGACCTATTTACTCTACCACAGTCTACCAGATTCTCACAGAATTTGTGAGACTCATAGCAAATGGCTAAGAAAATTCTCGAGTGATTACAGTTTGGGCTGACTGCCCTTGGATTAAAGGTTTGTGTTTGGTCTCCACCCTTGAATTTCTTTCTAGCACTTTGCTTTAATATATGCTCCCATGGCATATATTATTTAGCTTTCAAAACAACCTTGGCTTATTTTGCCAGATTGTTGTTGTTCAGTGCCCTTGAGTCATTCCTGACTCATATTTACTCCATTTAGGGTTTCCAAGGAAGACTAATGGATTTCAACTGCCGGCCTTGCTGTTAGCAGTCTAGGGCTTATCCTACAGAGCCACAACAGGTCCACTTTGCCATGTTGTGATTGTTAAGTGCTGTCGAGTCAGTTCTGACCCATAGCAGCCCTACATAGGGTTTTTGAGGAGTGACTAGCGAATTTGAACAGCCAACTTTGTGAGTCAAACTGACATTGCGGTCAAATGCTTATCCTACAGTGCCACCGAAGGGTGTAAATGAATATGTTAATTTAAATGTATTCATTCTTAAATTCTCAAGAGGTGCTAACAACAGATTATACCTATCCCATCCATGTTCTTCATTACACACTAAACCAAAAAGAACTTTTTAGTCTGAAATGGGAGATGAGACAAAAGTGTGCATTCAAGAAGAAACTATAGAAGAAGGTTTACAGGGCAGAAGATTAGTCTAAGGAGGGCTCTGTAGGATAAACACTGGACTGTGAACCATAAGGTTATTGGTTTGAGCCCACCAGTCATTCCGCTAGGAGTCCTGGTGTGACGCTGTGGGTTAATGTGCTGGACTGTAAGGTGTCAGCGGTTCAAGCTCAGCAACTGCTCCTTGAAAACCCTATACAGGGTCACTATGGGTCAGAACCAACTCAATGACAACAACAACAACAGCAATC